AATAACAAGATCATGGAATTTGGTCCAGCTATGGTCAATAAGTTTCTGTTCCTTTTTTATTTTATTCTCTATTTTCTCCAGGCTTGGCTGTTGAAGTTGATGTGCTCTTACTTGATAAAAGAGTTCTTCAGCCTTTATTTCAAACGTTGTTTCTTTTAACCCTTGTTCCAGCTCATCCATATCCAAGTCATCCCAGTACGCAGAGTCTTTATTCTTGAAGTCATCATATTCTTCGATGAGGTTCTCTACTTCGTACTGGGTATGAACTCAAAGGGATGAAAGTTGGCTCAAAGATTAGGTGGTGGCCACAGAAGTTCGGTGCCAATGAAGAAGCAACGGGAGTTGGTCCAAAAACATTTGGAGTTCTGCTTGGGCGATGGAGTTGAGAACGTGACCCCGAGTCATAACATCACAAGCCCATCGAAGGTTCTTGAGAGGAACATCATCTTCAAGAACATTGAAAGGCAAGTGAAAAAAGGCCGCAAGCAGAAGTTAGGCTTGTTTTCGCTGAGCTGGAGTAGGGGAAGGTAGAGGCTTATAGGGGGGAAAAACCTTGTCTGTAGAAAAGGTAAGCCTCAGTCTCTCTATCTAGCGGGGATTTTGTGGAGGAGGAGGTATAGAAGCTTCTATTTCGAAAGAATGAGGAAACTGAGGGGCATTAACACAATCAAGCCAGTCAGAAGAACAAAGCCTCACCTTCTAGGTTAAGAGCGATGGGTTATACCCTTGTGCCTCTTCTGAGCGTCGGGTAGCTTGTACTATCTTTGTAGGCATGGAGGATGTATACCATGCTACAAGCAGATTGTCCTCTAAACTGTGTCGACGGTCGATACCAGCTTCTCTAACCAAAAGCCCCAGAGGAAGAAGAAGCCACAGCCTCATCCCATGCAGAAGATTGTGGATTAGAAGAAGAACTTCCCATGTTCATATTTGCAAATTTCTAAATCAAACGATTGTGGACAGTGTGTTCATAATCCAAAGGTTGATAATTTGCAAAAGCTTCCACAACTTGAATATAGGAAGGTGGGTAAAGGTGGCTAATTAATGCATGAAGATTCTTTCGAGGACGAACGATATTATCAAACAACTCTTCGTATACTTGACCGAGATAAGAAAAGGTCTGTTTATCCATTGAATTGGACTTTTCGAATACTGAGATAGTGGGAGTGTTCAAGGGTTAGACGAGAATTTAATGCAAATGATGAATGACAGTTGCATTTTTGAGAAATGCAAAAGCCCATGCACGTTCTAAGACGTGGGAAAATACCTTGATCCACTAATATCACCAAGTATTGGGTATATTAGTGTGGGGGTAATGTTGGCTACATATTTTGTATAAGCCAATTATAATTCAACACGTGGCAGGTTGAGGGTAATACGGGAAGACAATTCAAACCTTCGATCGTGATCGTACACGTGGCAGTTAATATTGGGTTTCATAAGATCTACGTAGTACTAGATCAGTAAAGAGATGCAAAGTGATGTGGCTTCAAACGGTTACTCACATTTAAATTCAAAATCATGAGGGAAGCCTAACTGCAGGTATTGACATAGTGGAGCTAACTATAAGGCAACATGATCAGCGATTATGGAGGAGCAGTTCGACGGTTAGAAGTGTCATTCGATGGTTATCCTTGAGAAGTATAAATAGCAGAGAATGTCCCAGAAAAAATCCCCGACTCAGATAAAAAAAACCAATTTTATTTTACTTTATTTCCTTTCCAGTTTTACATTTCCTGTTCTTTGTATTTCTGTACTTTAAAATTCCTGCACTGCACTTCGTTCATAGGAGTAGTTTCAAGTAAATTGTTGCTGTAAACCTCTACGAGGCTGAATTGGATCATTATAAGTCTTTCGTTTTACTTAATGAAATACTGCAATTTTTCTTCATTTAATCATTGTCAGTTTATTCCTCCTAAGTAAAGCTACCAGTAAAAGTCTTCTTCATTGAGGCTGAAAGAACTAAAACACAATCGTCTGATAATTGGTTGGCAATTAAATTTCTGTAAAGACTGATTGATCATTGTTGGCACGCTCAAAATTACTGTAATAACCTTCGAAATCCAAAAAAGCCAACAATATCATAACCAATAATTAACTAAAATATATTTTATAGGTTTGTAATGTGCTTCTATAATATTATAAATAAATTGGCGATAAGTCTATTTTGATGAAACTTATGTCATTAACTTCAATGATTGATCTGTTTTAGTTTTAAAGATATGGTAAATAAAATATATTGGTGAGAAATATAAATCATTGTTTTAAAGGACTTAATATTTTTTTATCCTTGTATTTTTTTTCTATCTTTACTTTCTTTCTCTATTTGTACGCACTACTATCAATTGTCGCCATAGCCTATGGTGGCGACTAGTTGAAAAAGTCGCATGCGACCGACAATGGACAAATAGACAGATAAATAAAGATAATATAGTCTTTTAAATTAAATAAAAAAAAATAAGAGGAAAAGAAAAAAATGGTGATTAGCATAAACATAATCATATTTATTATCAAATTTGCTTACCACTATATACAAAAAGTCACTCATCCCACATTTCTAATGTGAAATCTATTAATTTTGATAATAATAAATATTTTTATACGTTTCATTTTCAGGGATAAATTGGATGGTTCCTTATGCATTAAATCACATGGGGTTTGGTAGAGCAGTTTACCAGCCTCACTTGACCACATATAATCACTTAGCCTGGACTTAAATACGGTTACCAATAAACAATTAATGCAATGGAATCCTGAAAATTGATTTTTTAATTCCTAAAGAAATTCTATTTACACTACAATTTTATCTCTTAATATCTATTTTCTCATTACACTATTAAAAAATAATTAAAATTCTCATTACACTTTTTATAATACCAATGTTAACCATAAATTAAACCATTTTTGAAATCCCTACAGGTTTTTCTTATTACACCTTTTCCTTTTAAATTACTCCTATTTTACTAAACAAATTATATTTGTCTAGCTATCTATTGTTGTTTGTTCAAAAAAAAAAAAAAAAAACTATCTATTGCTACACATTTACAAATTCACTTTCCTTAAAACATTTTTTCCCTAAGTTTATTATGGATCTGTTTGGTTATACATTGTCAAATAGTTTGGATTACTCTGGTGTCATGTTGCCAAATAAACTAGATTTTTCCAGCAATCTGTTGTCGCATGTTTACTATAAATTCACTTTTCTTAAAATATCAAACATCCATAAAAACATAAAGTGTACAAACATTCATAAAAATATTCATAAATTTTTTCAATACATATATCTTCAAATTTGTCAATACAAAAATTTATTAAAAAAAAAATACTGAGATGTTGTCACAATTCATCTATATTTATAGTTTAGGTAGTTACTATATTAGGACTGACAAACGCGCGGAATTTATCAATACGAACAATATATGTTTTCTCCCATCCATTAACACACAGGTGATGAAAACAAATCCAATTACTTGCTTTCGAAGTACTGGATGACCAGGAAACAGATAAATCTAACAAACAATTAACAATGCATAACTAGCCTTACTGCAATAAACAGAAATATAATCATTCAAAGCAAAAAAAATAAAAATGTCAGAAAAATGAAACTGAAAATGTTTAGTAGTGAGTTACCAGACATGCATTTTTTATTCGGCAGTGGATTACTGAATAAGTATTTTTTGTTCAGCAATGGGTTACTGAAAAAGTATTTTTTGTTCAGCTATGGTTACCTGATATGTATTTTTTGTTTGACAGTGTGATTCCAGACTATCTGATTTTATTCTGTTCTGGCACAATGAACAAAAGTCAAACAACCCTCTTCAAAAATGAAACGAAAACATAAAAAATAAAAATAAAAACTTACCATTTTACTTTTTTGCTAATCCTTCAGCACTATTTCTTCGTCCATTACTTTCCTTATTGATCAAAACACTATGATTCTTACCTTTTGAAAGTAGATGTATAGTATAAAAGAAGAAATGAGAAAAGAAGAAAAGAAGTAGGGATTGAAGTGCGATGGGTGTAAAGAGATAATCAAATCTATTTAATTTTTATTTTTTGTCCTTAAAGGTAATTTCACACATGAGTAAAATTGAATATATATATATATATATATATATCAAATGAAGAGTGTAAAGAGATAAATGTGTTGTGTAAATAGAATTTTTCATTCCCAAATTGTTCATAAATCTAAAGCATCATTGTCCATTCTTATTGTTCTGCTAAAATAATCTAAAATTTTTGTTCATTATTAATTTTAGGAAGTCCTTTGTGAAATTGATACTAGTAATTTTTAATTTCATTTCATATTGTAGGCAATCATAATATACTCTCTTCTGTTTTTTAACAATTTATTCATGAGGGCGATTTTGATATAAGTCAATTTAATGGCATGCCACCTTAGCGAAGAGGGAAAGATGTAATAATAAATAACACCTTAAGCAGTGTAGTTAGTGCCCTCCTTGGCCTTTTCTCTGTATTTAAAATTTTTAGGGAGTTTTTAGGTTGTTGAATTTATTTAATAAAAATAAAAATAAAAAAAAAGAAGAAAAAAAAGGGGGCAGAAATACTAGAGTGTACGAAAAAGTTATCCGGAAATTTGTCACAAAATGAAGTGCAAGTGGTAGATTCAAGCTCAGTGTGATGTGCTATGATGAATTTGGTCTACACTGTTCATTTTCTGACAATTTTTTTGAGTTTCTTAATTTTGCTAAGGAGAGAGGGAGAGAGAGAGAGAAAAGAAAGTATCTTCATTTTCAAATGCTACTATTTTTTTTGGGGAACTTAAATTAGGTTTCACATTATAAGCTAGTAATAGTATATGCTAGAGATCTCCCATAAACAACTGGCCAAATTGAATTAACATTTACTGTAGTACTGGCAAAACTTTGTTGTATCTTTTGTGGTCTTTCTTTAATAGGTACAACTGTGGTTGAATTGGCCATTAATTTATACTAGTCTATGTGTCCGTACACTACAAATATATAAAGCCCTCTCTTGCTCTCCAAACACACCACACCCTTTAGTTGTGTTAGCCCAAAAAAAAAGAAAAAAGAAAAACAGCATAAGAGCTAGCTACTTGTTCATATTTAGGCTGTTTCAATTGCCATTGTCATGGCTAGCTCATCTTCATCATCATCAATTCCATGTTTCTGGATCATTTTAGGGTTTATATTGGCAATGGGACTGGTTGTCCGTCAAGCAGAGGCTCGTGCATTCTTCGTGTTTGGAGACTCTCTAGTGGACAATGGCAACAACGACTACTTGGCCACCACCGCCCGTGCAGACTCCCCTCCTTACGGCATAGATTATCCTACACACCGCCCTACCGGCCGCTTCTCTAATGGCCTTAACATCCCTGATTTTATCAGTTGAGTACTAAATTTCACTACACATTAATACTTGTCTACATTGTGTTTTGACATGTTGATCATCATATGCATGCATGAGTAAGCCAGTAATAATAGACCTTGGGAAATTTCACAATTTGATAATCAGGCCTTTTTGTTTCTTCTTGATTTTATTTCATTTTTGAATTTATGAAAATGGCGCTATTTTATTAGTCTTGTTAGAGACTTTTAAAATATCACATTTAAATTCAGCTACAATAATGTGGTAGAGAATTGTGTCAAGTGTTTAATTCATACACGAATCAACACCTAACCTAGTAAATTAAGAAGTGAGATTTTAGAAATCTCAATGTGTGGTTTGAAGAAGAATATCATTATCAAGGTTTACACATGTCTTAAATATGAACCTTATAATGTGGTGAAGTGATAGTGATAGACTACACATATGGACAACCACTCCTACCTATAAAACTCACTTTCCTTGTCTAGAAATACTATATATTAAAAAAAAAGGGTCAGAAAATAACCAAAATTGGAATGCATGGTTTAAATTTAAATTTGATATGGCGTGAGTTGCATCGAAATAAAAATTTGTTCAAACATTGATTGATATGCATATCCATGCATTTTGGTTAATTAATTTTGTAATTTTAATTATCAGGTCAGCATCTCGGAGCAGAATCCACATTACCATACCTAAGTCCGCAGCTCACCGGGCAAAAACTACTTGTTGGTGCCAACTTTGCTTCTGCTGGAGTCGGAATACTTAATGACACTGGAGCTCAGTTTGTAAGTTTCATTTAATAATTTATTTAACCAAATAAATAATTTTCATTAATTTACTAATAAATAAAGTTCTAATTAAGAATATAATTCTTAATAGAGCGAAATGACGAATAACTATGTATATGGTGTGGTACTAATTAATATAATTGCGTTACATCACTAATTGAACTAGGCCTAGTTGGTACTAATGTTAAAAACCGAAATCACTAAATATGCTGATGTAATATTTGATAGATTAAAATGTCTTTTATTACAACATTGCAATATTGGTGGATTAAATATTGACAAGAAAAAAAAAAAAACAACATTGTA